AGGGTTCAGGGTTTAGGGGCATGTAGGCGGCTTAGGCGCGGAGGTTGGGGTTTAGGGTTAGGGGGTGTTCATTGGGAATGACTTGAAAACCAATTTCAAATTGAAATGGGAGCTTGGATGGTGTCAGTTCGTGCAGGGAGTTGGGGGATCAACCCTAAACCCTAAACCAAGTGGGTGGAATTTTAGAGCCCTGGGGTTTCTGGATTTCGAGGTTTGGGGGTTTCAGGCTTTTGGGGGGGCTTGTGGTTTGATTCAGGAGCTAGGGTTTTATGGCTCAGGGTGTAGAGTGTAGGGCTTAGGGTATAGTATAAAGGGGGCATGATTCTGTAGCGATTGCATATATCCCTACACCCTAAACCTTAGAGTAAGCGCAAGTGCTGTGCAGGGATGAGATAGGGTTGACAGGAGGTGTCCTTCTACTCGTATTTAGGAATTCGGGTTTAGGGAACTGAGCTTGTTCGCGACAATGGGTTTTCATGGGGTTTGTTTTGGGCATATAGGATTCCAATCCAACACTCCCCTAAAAGCTAAACCCTCTACCCTAATGTAGACCCCTGATCAATAGGCCCCCTCCCCTTAATAAGGATTAGAAGAGGGATCCTAATATAAAGGCCCTTCAAAGGAGGGGGTTTACTAATCATGGCTCTACATTAATCTAAACCCTGAACCCTAAATGGTAGTTTCCATTTCTTTTCTTTTCCATTGTCCTTATATGACCCCACTATTCTTGAATCATGGGTCTACATTGTTCGTCGAGTGTTTGGAGGCTAGGTCCCTCTGTAGACGGTGCACGTTTAGGGCTGCAATTCAGGGTTTGTGGCTTGGGCTAGGTCCTAAGGGTTTAGAATTGGGGCCAAGAGTTGGTAATGTAATGTTGTATCCTGTGGTTTATGGTTCAGGGCCCATCTGGGGATGAGAAGTGTTTAGAGCTGGGAGCGAATACTTTGCAGATAGAACCTACGCCTTCGATCCTAAATCCTGAGCCCCAAGGCTTAAGCCTTACGCCTCCGAACCGCAGCGCCCCACGGTATTCCAACATGGAAGTCTCTAGAAATCAGGGCCATTCGGGACCTCGAAACAGATCTGGAAACTGGCGACTCCTTGTCCATGTACCGCAAAGGGGTCCAGGGACTGTAGCTATTTGAGCTATAGTAGTCTAAACTCCGTAAGGGTTATATAGGGGTTATATAGGGGCTTACTATAGAGTCCATTAAGGGGGATACTAGGAGTTTAGATTATGGTGTATGTCTTAGGAGGAACGTTTGTTATTCTGGGGAGAGTATTTGGGTGGGGGAGTTGTTAAGAACTTCTAGGTACACCTAAACCCTAAACCCTAAACCCTAGGGGTAAAAGACCCTGAGCAAGTAGCCATACAAAGCTTGGTATCAAGGACCTCTGAGGTGGTGCCCTTAGGATTTCTAACTTGGGCCCAACAAAGGGGTTTAGGGTTTAGGGAGAATCATATTCCATGGTCTAGGGTCATGGTCTAGGGGTTAAATGCAAGAGTACAAATCCTAAGGGTACAAAGAACAACTCCTTGAAGGTATCGATGGGATCCGCGACTACCTTGGATTTTGGAACGTGGTGGACTGGATGGCGATCTTGACGGGGCTCTTTAATGTTGGTATGTGGTTCTATGTTCTGGTGCAGATGTCTGTTCGTCTACCAAATGCCATTGAGAGCACCTGGTCTGCCGTTAGCGGGTTGAGTGTGTAGATAGGGGCATATACTGGGGTGATAGGGGTTGTATAGGGGATATATTCGGGTTGTATTGGGATAACGGAAAAGGAAATGTAAACTACTATATTATATCTTAGGATTTATGGGATGAAAAGGTTCCCAGACAAGTAACAGGGTCTCCTCCTAACTGTACCTACATATCCCTAGACCCTCTACATTATCCCAATAAACCTGTAGCCCCTATATCTATATGACATTATATTACGGTATCCCCATAAGGTCCTCAGATAACCCCAAACCCTAACCTTTTCTGTAACTCCCATTATCCCCATAAGATCCTTGTATAACCCAGATAACCCTAAACCCTTTCTGTAACCTCTATTATCCCCATAAGGTCCTTTTATAGCCCATATAACCCTAACCTTTTCTGTAAACCCTATATCAAATTATACAAAGCAGCAACATAGGAATCCCCCAAGCGGCTCTGGATGAGAGGGTCTTTCGGAACACAACATATCTCAGCCTGGACGATCTCGCTGAAGTCGTGGATCCCACAGAGCTCAACGTCAACATCAATCGAATGTTCATAGTTGCCAGGGAAGTGTATGATTGGCACTTGCTCTTGAGGGCGTGCTTCTTCGGATATTTTTTCATCTTGATCATGAAGTTCTTCAAGTCCTTCCAGGCAAACCCCCGGCTGGACGTTGTGGTGCAAACCATTGTGCACTGCTCTGCGGCCGGGATCGCAGGTAGAACGATAACAATATTATCAATAGTAACAATAGTAATAGTACTAGTAGTAGCAATAATGATGGTAGGAACAGGAATTATCGTATTTGTTAATCCGCAGTTGTAGTTCATGAGGGCTCAGCTCATCCAAGTAGACTCCTTGGTGGTCACCTGGAAGCCTAGGTGAACGTGGCTCACTTCGGCATAGTCTTCTTCGCTATCTTCTGTAGCCTTGGAATCCCAGTGGAACCCTTTTGCCCCCTTTTTGGGTATTGGGTTTAGGGTTTTAGGGTTTTAGGGTTTAGCGTTTAGGGAAAAGGGGTTAACCTTATTGTAGTAAGGTTCCTGGGCTACCAAGGTAGCTATTCCTTCGCCGGCCATTTCCTCTTGGGTCACAAGATCAAGGGCTGGAGCTCCATGTTGGGCTCGCTCTTCATGTGCTGGAGTACCAGCTTAAACACCGAAACTTACAGGTTGTTAGTAGTAACTGTAGCAACTGATCCCTTTAGTAGCCCCCTTGTATTGTAATCCACATAATTTGGCAGTTTGGGCTTTTTTTTCATCATTCAACCCCTAAACCCCAGAGCCCATAGAAGTTTCCATTTTCTTTTCCATTCCCTCGATCCCTACCAACAAGCAGCAAGGAAATGGTGCAGGATTTCTCTATCCCCGTCCAGGCTGTGTGCTTTGTCTGGACCCTCACGTACCAGGTCTTAGTGCAGCAGGTCATGCCGCTCGGTTGCTGTTAAGGAACTGAAAAGAGCCTAAACGCTTAAACCCTATCAAGGAACTGAAACGTCAGGGTGTGCGTGATCGAATATGAACCATAGTTTCATCTAATCTCCTAGTTACATGAAGGATTATACACGGGGCGACTATAGGGGTTGTATGGGTTATTCGGGGGGATACAAGGAGTTTAGACGATAGCTCATATGGGCAAGTCTATGGCAGATGAAATGGGAACAGGGGTCACATCGGGGTGGTATCAAGTGTTAAGGCACATACTTTAAGCTACCATGATAAGGAATCTTGCTATTTGGCACATATCCATATTCGAGCATCTTAGTCGAGTTCTAAACCCTAAAACCTAAATGGTAGTTTCCATTTTCTTTTCCATTCTTCCTATGTCATACCCCTATAGTCCCCTTAAGTAGATAGAATGTGGGCTATATGGGATCTGATTATACTATACCCAAAGCCCTCTACTCTCTACTTACGGGGGACTATACGCCCTAAACGGTAAACCCTAAACCCTAAGTAGCAGTTTCCATTTTCTTTTCCATTATCCCTATATAACTGTTTCCATTTTTATTTTCCAGTATTCCTCTACTATACCCCTAACCCTGAACAGCAACCCAGGCTGAACATGCTTTATTGCATTGTCTTTGACTCCTACTACTCCATCAAGGGCGCCTCGGGGAAGCCGTTGACTTTGTATCAGCAGATCCAGGGTGCCATTGCAGATGCCAGAGAGACTCGAGGCTTTGTGGAGATGTGGGTCTTGATTCTGGGTCAAAATGAAGCCCAAGCCCTGAACCCTTTGTACTTTTTGGTGTATGGGCTTCCTTGGTTGAGAGCTTCTGAAAAGAATGGCTACATAATCCGTAACAAGGACCCTTCATTGCCCCCTATAATCCCCATACATCCCTGCGGGCCTTAAGAGACCCTTGTTTGAGAAAACTGCCAATAATTACAGAAAGGGTCTTGTTGCTTTGTTCGCACAGCAAAGAACACGCGCTAAGGATTGTGCAGATGGAAGACGACGACTTCCCGGCCCATCCAGCAGAAATTGTCACAGTCAGATCTTTGAAGCGTGCCTTTGAGAGGGAGGGCATGTCCCGGACGAATGCTGAGTACTTGGTGATTGGGGACCAAAACTGCGCATAGGGATTGTGCTGAATTCTGGTCCCCTTTTTTGGGTCCCATTTATAATTTTATACGATCTCCCAGAAGGCCCGTAAGTTAGAATAGGTTAGAGATCAGCCTTGTAGGGGCTCCTGTGTTCCCAAACTATTGATACTAAAGCTTCTGCAGGACCCTAACTACGGTATACATTGGGAAGTAGGGGAGTTTTGTAATTGACATGAGTAATGTAAGGCCATGATGGACTTCGAGTATCATCAGTAGGATCCTTGTACGGAACCCCAATATACTATAGTAGTTTCCATTTTCTTTTCCATTATGTCATGGCCTGAAGGTGAAAAAAGCGGCGGACTTCGTCAAGGAGCAGACGGAGCAAGTTGCTGGACTGCTGTCGATCATCGTAACTTAAGTTACTATAAGATGGATATATGGTATCTAATGTGGTTTCCTTAGAATAGTCACTTGGGACTTTCAGTCACATTTAACTAGGGTTTAGGATTTAGGATTGTCGCTTAGGACTTCCAGTCCCTGTTAATTAGGGTTTAGGGTTTAGGATTTAGGAAGGTCACTAAGGATTTCCAGTCCCTGTTAGTTAGGGTTTTGGGTTTAGGAAGGCCACTTCGGACTTCCAAACCCTAAACCCTAAACCCTAAACCCTAAACCTTTAACGGCAACGCAGGTTGAAATCACCTTGTCAGATGCCATTCGGGTCACGGGGCACATCCAGAACACCATGCTGAAGACCTTGGAGCTGGGTGAGGAGTGAATTTGGTTAAGGGGGTTTAGGGTTTAGGGTTTAGGATTTCAAAAAGCCCCGGATCTAGCCTCCAAGACAAAATCCCATAATCAGTTTGTAATCATTGTATATCTCCAGATTCCCCCGGGACACCCCATGAATCCTCACTGGCTGTTAAGGACCTTCAGTCGCCAGAACCTAGATCTACGGTCAACACTAGGGTTTCCTACATGTAGTCATTTCAGTTAGAGTTTAGGGTATAGGGTTTCGGGTTTAGGATTTAGGTTTAGGTTTTAGGGTTTAGGAATTAGGGTTTAGGAGCAGTAGCCCGAATGCAGGAGTCCCTGGACATGATCAAGACCGAAGCCAGGAATAAAGAGGCGGCGGAGCAACTGGGTTGCTGTTGAGGAACTTGAATTCGCTCACCAGAATATGGGTATGTAGGGGTTAGGCCTTAGGATTTCAAATTTAGGGTTGAGGAGATTTAAGTTGCCATAGAATGGGCATAGAGTAAACAAAGCGGTTTCCTTGTTATAGTATCTCGGCGTAGGGGCCTTTGCAGCAACCCAGGAAAGCCAAAGAGCGCTCTGCATTCGTGTCCAACAACATGAACCTGGGCTTTAGTTGAACAACATATCTCATGCTTGTGCACATTTGTCCCAATGTGGACTGAGCATGGTAGTATTCATGTTATCTAGGCGGGGGCAAACTCAAGTATGAGCAGATAGTATCCCGTAGCCTGTTGTAAGTACCATTAAGGATGACACTAGTGTTTCCTAACATGCTTACCTAGGTTCTTACTTGTACCTTGAATGTTTCCTAGGAATGACGTGCCTGGCCTGGACACGAAGCAGGATGTCAACATGTCAGAAAGCCAGTGGCGAGTGTCGGATGAGGAAGGAGCTTCCAAAAGTTAGGGTTTGGGGTTTAGGGGTTTAGGGATTTAGGGTTTAGGGTTTAAGGTTTAGGGGTTTAGGGGTTTAGTGTTTAGGGGTTTAGGGGTTCAGGGTGTAGGGTATCGGTTGGGAGTGTGTTCCGGGCTAGTACATGGAGGTTTCCAGAAATAGGCGCTCCTACATAGGCCCTGACTTCCTGTGAACCTTATCAAAGGCATCCTCCAAGAGGAAGCCCCACATGGCAATTTCTCGAAATTATCCCCATGTAATCCTTAGCAAGGACCCCCAAAATCCTCTTCTAATGCCCATAGATCTTTTGGGTCCCCGCCGTGTTGAGAATCTCCCGTATTGTTCATGCTTACGTGAGGGGGCATACCTTTTAGCACCACTCTTTGTTGGACATGTCCAAGAATGCAAGGTCTGTGACGCAGTGGAGATTACTCTGCACAACATCTCTAGCCTTCTCGACCACTGCCGGCAAGAACAGACCGACTTAGCCGGGGATGTCAATACTGCATTGCAGGACATCTGGCGCGAGGAGGCTGCTCACTGTTGCTTTGGAAAAGCCTTTCCAGCTTCCTTTTCCTGCAGTTGGGGTTTAGGGTGCAGGGTTGAACCCTAAACCCTAAACCCCAAACCCTAATCTCTAAACCCCAAACCCTCAACCCTGAACCCTACATCTGGAGCAGTAAGGACAAGAGGTACAAGGATTTGGATGTCTTGCTGCACGAGCTGGAGCACGGGCTTCAGGCTGTGGAGCGCAGCATTGGTTCCATGGGCGTTTCTGGGATTCCTAAAGTTTAGGGTTTGGGGTTCAGGGTTTAGGGTTTAGGGGGTGGTTTTGGGGCTTGTTTGGGGTTTGGGTTTCAGGGTTTGGGGTCTAGGGTTTGGGGTTAAGAGGTTGGGGTTCAGGATTTGGGCCTTGGGGTTTAGGGTGTATTTTAGGGTTTAGGGTAGGGTTGTGATTCCTCGAAGACTGGCTCCACCCGTAACAGTAGCAGTCTACAACAGGGCGAATGTTAAGGGCATTACATAATCATAGGCCGAATCCAGCTGCTGCTTAGTAGAAGCGGCTAGCCGTTCATTTCATCTTGCTAATTGTTGGTTTTGAAGTGAAGGAACGGAAAAGATAGGGGAACCAACTATAGTATCTGGACAAATTCCTTGTCGTTTGGGCGTGGTATGGTAGGGATTGGAGAGCAAACGGGAAGATCAAGCGGAGAATAAATGGAACCCGGGGGCAGGGAAATATGATTTTAGGATTGGCCTGCTGGTTGTCTGTAGGCCATTGTAGGCAATGGAGAACCCATGCGGTTTAGGGTTTAGGTTCTAGGGTTTTGGGAAGATGCAATTGGATTTTGTGGCTATGGTGAGGTTTAGGGTTTACTGCTTGATTGCTGGTCGTGAATGATGAGAATGGAATCTACGATGGCGCCAGTGATTCAAAAAGCATCCATACTATAAGGATCCATCTCTCCATTCCTTGCTAGCAACTGGCAGGTCATTTGGTCCTTCGGGAAGTTAAGTGCTTGGGGTTAGAAGTCGGGGATACGCCCGAAACCATAAGGCGCTTGCAGGTTATCAGTCAGGGCTTGGGTCAGTTTTGTGGGGGCTGAAGAGTTCAGATCGCGGAGTTTTTCTTGCTGCCCTGTTCTGTGGAACCCTGGTCCCAACAACCTGGGTGGCAAGGCGACTCCTTTTGCCGGAATCCCTGAACCATATACCCTGAACCATAGTCAGAATAGATCCTCAAGCATCCTAACCTTATACATCCTACCTGCAAAGTGTCCTTGAGCTAAGGTCTCCTTCAGTGGCACCAACTTTCAACAGCTCGCTTCGGTTCCCGAGCGCTTGGACGACCCAGATCTGTTGCAGCTGCTGCTCTCGGGACCTAAACCCTAAACCCCAAAGCCTGGGTGGCTTAGGGTTAGAGTTGGGGTTTAGGGTTTAGGCGGTTTCTAGGCATTGTGGATTGGGCCGATGGGAGTTCTTACGCCTGCCCAAGCCAAACGTAGAAGCACAAAAAGGGCCTTGACGGACAATTGCTGTCCTTCTTTCTTGCATTTAGGGATGACTCAAGGTTGTGGATTTTGGCTGTTTAGGGTTTATCTGGGGATTGGGTTTAGGTTTTACTTAGGGCTCCAGGTCGTAGATCTTACGATTTATTAAACAGGAAGGAAACCATGCGGCCATTTTTGGTGATGTAGACCCATGATTAATTAACCCCTTCCCCTTGATAGGGATAATAATAGGGATCCTGATATTAAGGCCCTTCAAAAGGAGGGGGGGGTAAATAATTCGGGTCTACATTATTGCTTTGAACCCGGGTTTCATTCTTGTGCGTTGTGGCCGCTTTTACCATCCAACTGATTAGAGCCACGAGTTACACTCCTCCATTGCCATTCTGATGATCATGGTTCTATTCCCTCGCATGACATCCTCGCAGTCAGCAGGGAAGAAGTGAACAGATTATATAGAGATTGTTTAGGGTTTTTATGCCCTTATTCCCTACTAACAACCAGTAAGATGACGCACAGGAGAGGAGAGAGGAGGCGCTTGCGTGTCCCGCCTCGATGCCAAGCTGGGCGAGCTCAAGCAGCAGATGCATGAGCTCAGTGGAAAAGCCGGCGACACAGCCGAGTTGCGGGACTTGTTTTGGAAGGTCGAAGTGAATATGCGAAAGCTGAACAATGGCAAGGGGGTGATTCCCATGAAATGCTTCATCAGGGAACAGCCAAAACCTGAGAAAAGGCAGAGAAGACCCGACTCCCGCGAGGATGATGACTGAAACAGTGGAATGTCTAGCTTTCTAATTATAGTCCCTCCCCCTTAAGTAGAATATGGCTTTGGGTATATTATCATAAGATCCCCACATACCCCATATTCTAGCTACTTAAGGGGGGATTATATTTCCAGCAAGATTTCAGTATCATCCCACGGAACCCGAAGGGTTCGTGTTGTTGGGGTGTGTTAACGAGCTGTGCTCTCTGGGCAGTGACAAGTCTCACCCAGATCTTTGCACCTCGCCCTCCTACTAAAAGTACTCTCCCCCTACTAAGAAAACCACCCACCCCCTAGTAATAACATAGGAATAGTCTAGTCTTAGTGAGAATATTGATCAAGAGGGGCGTGGGGTTTGATTAGTAGGGGGGGTGTGTGTACTACAGCTACTGCTACTTATCATGGGAATAACAATGCCATCTTTTCTGTGTACCTTGAATAACAGTGGCTGCGTGGAGAGAGGACGCAACAAAGTGTCACCCACTGCATGATGAAGCAGGCGAAACACGCCACCTGTGTCACCAAGTGGAATTTGCAAAATCCATTCTGCGCGAGTTTGCACTACAGCATAGGAATATCCATACAACCAAAAACAGCTGTTATCAGCCCTCATTCATGACCTTGTACCAGGATGTCCTAGCCGCCAAGGTATATCGTACTTCGGGTCATGTAGGATTTTGACGGTCAGCCGTAGTGAAAACATCTTCATATCAGACACCGGCCAAGGGGGACGGATTGTTTTGAGAGGCTATTAAAGGGTATATAGATATACACGGTTATACAGGGATATATTGGGCTGTAGGGCTATATAGGGATGTGTAAGGATATATTTCCCCAAGAATGTATCTATATCACCCGAATGCGAGACACAGCAAGAGGCTCCTTCCAATAAATTGAGGTTTTTTGAGGGGCGATTCCTTTTTGTCATGTCTACGACTGTATACAAGCAAGGGGCATGTGGGTAGTTTGCCAGTTTGCCTGCCCTGCTCTGCCACGCCGGATTGCTGTCAAGGATTTTGTTTTAAGTGCTCTATTGGGGAAACCACAGTACGATATTAACCCATTATGGCAACTTCATTTACGTTCCTTAACAGCAACGCAGCATGGGTATCATCTGGCCATCTGGTTTGCTACTGCCGGCGGCGTCCTCACAGAGATTTCGGCTCGCGCCAGGGTTCGCCTGTGCCGACATCCCACATTACGCCTGCCTAGCTTGCAGTTAGGGTTGTAACCTCAATGGCCAACATGTTTGAATTGCGACGAAGACCTGTCTGCTGCCAAGAACTTCTGACAGTAGGATCATGTCCTGTACTATACCAGGTACCCATGGCATGAGCAACGCATTAAGGACACCCCTCTAGACTCCAGTCAGTACCACACCCAACTTGTGCTCATACTACCACGACAAGACTTCAAGTACCCCCATACCCAGGCTCTTAAGCACTCAAACAACAGTGACCGGCCTACCCGAATTATGATCCCTAGAATCTTTTTCATTCAAAATAGTACTAGCCATAGATAATAGTAATAATCCTCCTAGAGCATCCCAGACCCTAAGCCTTAAACCCTAAACCCCAAAGTCTAAACCCTAAACCCTAAACCCTAAACCCTACATCCTAGACCCTAAATCCTGTGTTGGGGAGCATCCTAGCCCCAAAGAGCTGCCATGCCCCTGCTCCTTTGAGATGGGTGGCCCGGGCTAGTTGCTGGAGCCTCTTTTGTGGGTTTAGGGTTTGGGGGTTATAGTCCCCCTTAAGCAGATAGAATATTAGGTTTCATAGGGTTCATAAAGGGATAACGGAAAAGAACATGGAAACTACTATTTAGGGTTTGGGGCAGGGCTTAGGGTTGAGGGCATAGGGTAGAGATTGTAACAATCCCTAATCCCTAAAGCCTAAACCCGAAACCCTAACCCTAAACCGTAGGGCACCCTGCCAGTTTAGGGTGTTGGGTTCTAGGGGTTTGAGAGGTCTAGGGGGTTCGAAGTCTGGGGGTTTGGCAATTTTCTCAAAAATTCGGGGCTTTCTGCTTGCAGTGGTGTAAACTCTAAACCCTAAACCCTGAGCTACGGATTTAGCGCTCGGGGTGTACGCAGCTTGGGTGCAGGGCTTTGGGTCTTCCACCCTGAGTCCTGAAATTACAAACCTAAAGCCTTTTTTTCGGTTTAGGGTTTAGGGTTTTTGGGGTTTAGGGTTTGGGGTCAATGCTGTGGTGAAAGTAGGTGGTCTTGGGACAGAAGTTCTGAGGGAAGTATGCCCGGGGAAGGGTGAGACCTTCAATCAGGTTGCTGTTGGGGACTGAAACTCAGCTACTGTGATGGGGAAGCGCTATCGGGCGCTATCATTTACTGCATATCCCATTTCTTGGTAGCTTTGTTTAGTTCCTTAGCAGCCAAACAGATAAGCGTCCCCTTCTAGAAGCGCCTTCAAGGCCCCATGGAATTCCACAGGTGGGTAAAGCATGCTCATACTTAGCCCTCTCAACTCCAAACTGCAAAACCCGTGGTTGTGTAGCCCGTGAACCTTCTCATTTTCGGATGGGACCTCTCCCGGTGTTCAAGTGTGAAGGAACACATCGTTCCCCGAAAAAGCAACCGCCACAGCCCAACAATAAAAGGGTGCAATAAAGATGAATCCTTCCGCTAATATGTGAATGTGCCGGCGCCATATAGGGAACAGTTGTTATTAGGCCCTGAACCCTAAACCCGTTGATTACACTTTGAGCCCCCCAACTGAGACCCCCGCACTCCAGATTTGGGACTAACAGGGCCCAACAGAGGACTATTGAGGGACATCAAGGCTGAATGCGTGTTCTGAGGAACTATTTTAGGTTATTACAATTTTTCTGCGCAGTCCTTTCAGCTTTAGGGTTTAGGGCTTCGGGTTTAGGGTTTATGGTTTAGGGTTTAGGGTTTAACCCTAAACCCTACACTCCAGACCCGAAACCAACTCATGACTTATCTTCGGTGTTTAGCCTCTCAAACTCTTGCAGCTTACACCTGAGGCCAAACCCCTGAATCTCAATCTCGCTGATGAGTAGGGAATGCGCGGGTTGCTGTTAAGAAAGTTAGAGTTACCGTAATTACCAAGCATATGGAGAGACACATCTATACATAGAGTCAAGAAGTTGCATTATCGCAGGAGTTTAAGTTAATTCCCTGAACAGTAACCCACACCACGGAAGAAGGATTGCATGGATTAACACATGGATCCCATCCCTCACCAGAAGTCCCGAACGCATACCCTAGGGCACATTCCATTTTTGGATGCAATTGCAAACTACCTTCCCCCAAACTAACGGACGCCCAATTAGCATTTCTGAGAATGACAGTAGTCAAAGCACAGCATTTGGGCCTGCATGTTGGTTTGGGGCTGCGCAAAGTGGAGTAGGTGGATGCAGTAAATTAAAACCCTAAACCCTAAACTCCAAATCCTAAACCCTAAGCCCTAATCCAAAAAATCCTAAACTCTCCACGGACAAGTGTCCTTCTTAGGGAAGATATTTAGGATTATACTAAACTATGAAAGGGACCCTGAGTCGGTGAGGTTTTCAGAGATGAGAGTGCGCCACCTGCAGACACACCTCCATGAGGCTAAGCTGCATCGGGGGCAGTTTCCGCGCCTGCAGGGTTTAGGGGTTTAGGGTTGAGGGTTTAGGGTTAAGGGCTTAGGGATTAGGGATTAGGGTTTGGGGTCTAGGGGTTCGGCTTTAAGGATTAGGGCTTAGGGATAAGAGTCCACGGATTAGGGATTCGGCTTTGGAGATAGGGCTTAGGATTTAGAGATTAGGCTTGAGGGATTAGGGATGAGGGTAATTACGGTTTAGGGATTTGGGGAGGGAGGGCTTTGGTGGTTTTAGGTGTAGGGACTGAGGCATTTAGGGATTTAGGTTTCAGGGCTTCGGTTTCAGGGCCTGGGGTTGAAGTGGAAGGGCTTTGATCCTTCCTTGCGATTTTAAAAGTGCGCCCTTTCTGATGAAGGGCGTGTTGATTGAAGCCTGCAGCTGCAACTTATAGTCACCCTAAAGTAGATAGAAAATGTATTTTTTTTGAGATTTTATGATAATATGCCCAAAGCCATATTCTATCTGCTTGAGGGGGTTTATCAGATTTTACCGGTTTTGCATGACCATGGCCTTGCACCATCATTGAACACCCGCGCAAGGATGATCTTCAGGGCTACAATCCAACCACAAAGCCTCGCAGGGGCGCCCACAAGACCCTTTTGACTTGACTGACTGGTTCCTAGTAGGGAATAAGGAATAATCCCTATGTAATCTCTACATAATATGAGCTATAGTCTAAACTCCTTAAAGGGGGTTATATGGGGGATTATATGGGGGACCACATAGGGGTTATTACGGGGGATACTAAGAGTTTAGACGGTAGCTCATATATTCCCATATTCCCTACTAAACAAGATGACTTGACGCCGCAACGGCGGCAAGCTGACAGGCATGATGTAGAACATCCTGTTGCCTGGGCCTTCCATGCAAGAACCAAGGACTCCTCTTCATAGACTCCGAAATACCTGTGACCTATAGTTTAGAAACTCTCAAAGAGGGTGAGGATGCATCGAATTCCTGCGTACACATGTTCTTTACCCCCCAAGATGAAAAAAGGCCTCCCAATTTATGTGGTCTTTGATGGGGAACATATACCATTAGGGTCCGGGGGTGGTAATTAATATTAGGGAGAGCAGATTTGTCTCCTAAACCCGAAGCTCTCAACTCCAACCCCAAAACCTTAAATCCTAAACCCTAAACTCTGAGCCCGAACCCCCAAACCCTTAAATCCTAAACCATAGGCTCTGAACCCTAAACCCTAAACCCTAAACCTCATGAGTAGTATTCTATTTGGGGATACTATGGTGCCCAATATAGAGCAAGATTATATCCTCCTTTTGGGCTTTGCAATTTATATAAGGAATATTATCTTACTAGGTTCAACCACCAAAAAAACGACTCACTTAAACCCTAAACCCTGAACCCTGAACCCTAAACCCTAAA